AACTTGACAAGTATCCTTTACCCACAGAGCCATCTTACTGGCCCAAAATGTTTTGTAGCTATCTAAAATTGAGTTTTTTTTTCTTGGATTAGCTCATATTTATACTTAATCTTATTTTCCATCTTTTCCTTTACCCACAGAGCCATCTTACTGGCCCATGATGTTTTGTAGCTATCTAAAATTGAGTTTTTTTCTTGGATTAGCTCATATTTATACTTAATCTTATTTTCCATCTTTAGTTTTTTAGCATTGAGGTTAGTTGATGAGCTTAATGTTTCTTAATTTTTCTTCCCATTTTACTTAGCAGCGGGAGACCAGAATCATTGATTATGATATATCTGATACATGATCCACACAAATCCCATTGTTAAAAAACATCAGGTGATTATTGAAAATAAATTGACTCCAACACATCATTCAATAGCTAGAGAAAATGTGTGCCTTCTGCCCTCATATTTGTTCACCTGGAGTATTGAGCAACACATGTGAAATTAAGAAAGTTAACCAAAGTAACAAACAAACAGATGGAGTAGTATCAATTGCCAATACTTCTAAAGTCTATGGCAAAAAAATCAATGAGAACTGAAGATTCCACGGTATTGATTGTCTGAAGGGAAGTAGAAAATGACACATATTTTAAAAACTGAATTCAATTCAATGAAATGTCTTTGCAAAAAAAAATTAAAAAGAACCTGTATGGCATAAAATTAAAATCAAGATTTTGACCCACTTTCATGTTGACTCAATTAAGCTTTACAAAGTACATATTAAAGCATTTTTTTTGGCATGGAAAAAAAGTAGAGGCATGAAATCAATCAGTGCCAGTGATCAGGTAATATGTGCATCAGGACTCTCTGTCTACACAGCCCACAAACACCAAGCTAAGAATCTCAAGAACCCAGGGGTGGATCATGTTGAGATAGAAGAAGATAGAGCGAGTCAGTGCCACTCAAGGTACACGAAATCCATAGTGCACCTGGATCCTCGAAACACAGAGAGGCACATTTCAAATCCTACATGCTCGGACTCCTCATTTTGGTCAGCATGGCATCATAAACTTGTAAGAATGAAAGAAAGCAAAGATCACAGATGAACAGAGGGACAGGAAGGAATTGGCATCCACCAATAAGTTTGGGACAGTTTGGGGAAGAGAGATTTTACAAACCTAACTAAAAGCTTTGTAGGACTAATTTCAGAGGGCAGGACTGACAGGCCAAGGAAATACAGAGGTAGATTTTTGCATTCATGGTCCCAATTTGGTCATATACACCTGTGTCAGGACCCTGACATCATACTCTCTACATTGACTTTGAACCTTATGGGATTTGTCTTCATGGATGAGAAAATAGTACATGTGACACAAGCAAGAACTCACAGTATGCTTGCACTCAGAGAATGTGATGAGAAGACAGAGCTGGCAGGCTGCAGGCTAAGAGAATGAGAACTCTCTCAAGGAGCCTAGCAGATGCATAGACGCAAAAAATTGAGACCATGAAGCAATCAGCTGGATACAGTGTTTCATAGGGCAGAGCAGAAAGCAAGCAAGCCAACCCAGACCATTAGAGATGACCAGTATATTCACAGATTCATGACCTAGGTGGAATGTATATTTTCATTGACACTTTGAGATAGTTTATCATACAGCAAAAGCTAATTAACATTAAAGAATAATATTAGGAACATAAGCAAATATTATATCTAAGATAAGAGAGTATTTGTTCTTTGTTTCCCGCATAGATACCTGGGGACCCAGAAAGATTGTAAAGTAGGAAGGACTACGTGGACTGTCCAGGCCAAAAGCCTTGGATAGACAGCTTCAGAGAGCCCTGGACTCCAGAATGATAAGAAAGTAGACGAACTTACCTTCTTTCAAATGAAGGTAAAATGGGAAAAATAGGGCAGATCTTGGGAAGCACAGCTTACATTTCCTGAGTGTGGTGGGGTCACTTGCTACTCTCTCACACTGAGCCTGCTCAGAGCAGAGCTGTCAGTACAAAGGAAGGGGCTCTGTTAGTGGGGATAAGATCCAATGTATGGAAGGACTGAATGGGCCAACTAAACCCATGAGTTTATAAATCACAGTGGATGCTGTGATAAGTTTTTTTTTTTTTAATTCTAGTGCTAAGGATTGAACCAAGCACTTCGTGAATGCATACACCAGCAAAGGTTCAACTGTATGACTGAACTGGAGAACACAGACCACAGGAGCAAGAGAAAGTCAGGGCTCAGTTTTGACTGTATTGAGTTCATCATTCAACACGAAGGCCAAAATAGGCATCTCATTGGTAGGAGGCAGTACAGAACATCAGCGAGGGTTCAGCATGAATGCCATAGATGCTATAAGTTTGAGAGTCCTTGGCATATGTCACTTAGCAACAGTGCATTGATGACTAAAACCTAGGCAGCTAGCACAGAAACCTGGGCAGTCCAATATTATAGATTGGTCAAAGAGTAGGGACTCATTGCAGGACACTGAGACCAACCCAGTGGCCAGTGATTAAGAAAGGGAGGATAGAATGCCTAGGAAGTCAAAGACAGTCAATCAGTCAGCCATTCAAGGAAGAAAAAGTTTTCCCTATAGTCATAGTGCTTAGCTCTTAGTGAGAATTCATAACATATTGCTTAAATGAATGAAAGAGTGAATGCATCAACAAAGAAATAAATTTTTTCCTATAGTATTATGATATATTTCCTATAATGATATTATGAAAGTCAACTGAAGTATAAAAGAAAATCAGCATTTTGGGAGAATCTCATATGTAGGCATTGTATATATGTAGATAACGTGTGCATGTCAATGTAACTAAAATAATCTTAAATTCTAACTAAAGGTTGTTGTAGTTTTAATTCAAAATAATAATAAAATGTGACCCAATGTCTAATGATACTGAATTGCCATAATAGAAATGAAAAGATATTTAGGCATTGGTTAAGAAAATTTTCAATCCTAATGTAAAAATGATGTGGACCCATTGGTCTTGGATAAGGCCCTGAAGAGCACTAACCTATCTTTCCTCCAAATTGGCCATCAATACCTGCTTCTCTGTCCTGAGTTAGTCTTGTTTTCTAACTTGGCATACAACTTTCATTCAACATCAAGGATTACAAATTATCCATGAAGGTCTTCAAACAACCTTTTAGCTAACAGATATAGCACAAGGTAGGAACCAGTAATGGAGTTCGCTTTTAGTTTTAAACATTTTCTGGGCATTGATGGAATTCAAATTAGAGCAGACATTATAATAACAACATAGTCTCCCTTCTAGACAACTCCATCAACATGACCATCAGAGTAACTTTCATAAAGTCAACCATATCATTAGTGACATTTAGTTGCCAGCAGAATGGTTACCAGATAGATTCACTGTCTGTGTATATACCACCCATGCAGAACACGCATGGATGCTTCTTACTTTTCTTAAAACCCAGCACAAAGACTTGTACTCAATAAAGGGTGAATCAGTTCATTCAAAGAAATGAACCAATCAATTAAAAATTAAAATTTTAGTGTGTCATAAATTTCATAGAAAAGCCTGGCTACATGATAAGTTCCAGGTCAGCCTGGGCTACAGGTTCAGATCCTGTACCAAAATTTTAAAAGACAAACTATCAAAGTATTACTGAATTACAACTTCAGGCTTTAACTTAAACACTCTTGAATTTATTTAATGCTTTGGTCTGTATTATTATTATCATTGTTATTTGTAAACCAGTAGTTCATTATTTTCAGTGACAGTTAATCTGTTTTTAGCACTGGGATCATCATTCTGAACTGCTAATAGTTACACAAATTAAGAATACCATTGGGTTGAAGCTGAAATGTGAACTTGGTGAAAGGTTGGCCTCCTGGCATTTCCTTTCCTTATAATCACATTTTCTTTTTCACTTAGTGACAACAGAATCCTGGTAAATAACTGGTTTGCCTTCAGTTAATACATTTAATCCTGATGAACCTGCCAGGTATTTTTCATGTTCATGTATCAACTGAGTAGGGGGGTATACAGGTGATATGTATAAAATTCAAGCTATATCTTCTGATGGGGTGGTTTCATTAAACGATTTCCCTCAAAATAAGGGAAAAGAAAAAACCTTGTATCTTCATGGACTGTTAAGTTTAAATGATTCTGAGATGATAATTTTCAGAGCAGGAGCAAAAGACATGCCACATTTTGCTCATCAGTGGATAGAGTACTGTATATGTTAGTGTGTCTGCTGTCCTCCACCATGTCCCTCACTGTCACAGGAATCCCAGCTTCTCCCAAGCTATGAATTTCTGATTCTCAGTGTCTTCTCTAAGCAATGGAACTCTTGTTTGCATTCCATGGTATAAACTGCCACCTGTGGAAGCTTTTACATTACATTTTTTAAAAGTCATTAAATGTCTTGTATATATAGGAATTTGTTCCAAGAAACATGAGCTGGTAGAAGTTGCTTCTAAACTTTGGAAATTAGTGTTACAGTGTGAACTCGATATAATGATTACCAGAGTGAATGAGTTCTTGATTTAAATAAGAACATTAAATACACATACACATACACACACACACACACACACACAAACACCCTTTGTAGACATGACCAAAAATCAGAATTACAAATAACATATGGTTTTCAAGCTTCATTATGAAAATATAGCTAGGCAAAATGATAAATTAATGAGATTTACTTTAAAGTGTAAAAGAAAATTTCAAAATCATGCCATAAATCATGTGTACAATTATTTATGGCCATATAAATATATATCATTTATTCTAAAAAAACACTGATAACCAGAGCCAAATAATATGAAATAGAGAATTATGTATGTGAAAAAATATATAAAAATATATTAATTTTATTTGAATATATGTTGACTTTGTGAAAACGGTAAAAGTATGGTTCAAGTTTAATTACACTTTTAGGTGAGATTTGTTTGCTCATCATATTAAATAGCCCAGAGAAAATACATTTACCAACATGACAAAGAAAAAAATCTAGCAATAAAGAAATGATTCATTTACCTGGATCTTCTATAGTTAAGTTCTTTATTAACCATTGAACAATGTCTGACCCTAGAAAAAGAAAAAAGAAAAACACAGGTAGATGTGAACTTTTGGTTTAGTAAGAACTGTTCTAATTATTACAATAACCACCGAAGGATCTTCCGCAAATAAAGTACCAAAAATGCCAATTGTGAATACATTGCTTCAATGAGTCAAGGTACAAGTCAGTAAATTATAAAGTATTATGTATTATATATATATGCATATATACTGTTTCAATTGATTTAAACAATTCATTGAGATTATTGAATGCCATGTTTATGGCACAATTCTTACTCTGGTGTGACCAAAACTTTCCAGAAGGATCCCTTCCTCAATTTTCATTGTCCTTATCTGTTTTTGTATATTTTGTTTGCTTTCTGTGATTGGTAAATACAAATGCAAATTAATTTTTAAAAATATCTTTGAATAAACCTAAGAAGAAAGGCCTTTACAATAAAAACTCTGAAGCAGAAAAAAAAAATCCCTAGAAGTTGGAATATCTTCCAAGGTCATGGACTGGAGGAACTAATATTGTGAAGATGGTTACATTATAAACACCAACCTATAGGCTAAATACAATCTTCATCAACACTGCAAATCATTCTTCACAAAATAGAAAATCAAGTCCTAAAATTCATATCAAAGCACAAAAGACCTCAAACAGCCAGAGAAATCCTGAACAGAAAGTACAATGCTGGAGATATAGGATTTTATTTCAACTACACTACAGAGCCAAGGTTACAAATACAGTGGGGTACTGGTACAACACAGATGCACTGACCAGTGGAAAAGAATGTAGGACCAGTTACAGCCACCTGATTTCCAAAAAAGGTGCCCAAAACATACATTGGAGAAAGGATACCCTCTTTGGGGCTGGAGAGACGAGATGGCTCAATGGTTAAGAGCCCTGGCTGCTCTTGCAGAAGGCCTGGGTTTGATTCCCAACACCCGTATGGTAGCCAACAACTGTCTGTAACTCTAGTTCCAGGAGAGTCTGACGCATTCTTCTGACCTTTGTGGGCATTGCACCACCAAAGTGCACTTACACACACCCAGGCAATACACTTATACTCACTAAATAAAAACAAAATATTTTTTAAAGACACCCTCTTCAACAAAAGGTATTTGGAAAACTGGGAATCCACAGGTAGAGGAATGATACCAGATCTATATCTCTCACTTTATAAATAAGTAGATTAAAAGCCAAAGACTTTAATATAAGACCAGAAATTCTGAAACTCCTAGAAGAAAAACTATGAGATATAGGGATTGGCAAGAACATTCTGAATAACACTTTAATTGCTTAGGAAGTAATTGCAATAATTGACAAATGGGATTACATGAAATTAAAAAGCTTCTACATAGCAAAGGAAACATTCATCAAAGTAAAGCAACAGCCCATTCATTAAAATGGAGAAAAATCTTTGCCAATTATACATCCAAGAGAGATTGGTATCTAGAAAAGCTAAAGAATTAAAATTAATCAATGAATGGGCAAGTGAATTGAACAGATAGTTCCTTTAAAAGATTTACAAATGGCCAAGAAACATACTTTAAAAGTTTGATGTCATTAGACACCAAGAAAGAGAAAATTTAAAAGAATTTGAGATTTCATATAAAACAAGTCAAAATGGCTATCATCAAGGAAACAAATGGCGGTAAATGGGAAGATGTGGGGCAGGTGGAATCCTTGTTTACTGCTGGTGGGACTGTAGACTAATGCATCTACTGTGGAAATTCTTCAGGAGCTTCTTCAAAAAATTAAAAATCCTATACATGAGGAAGATCTTCCATAACTGTCTGGTATTACACAGGGAGAGCTATGACTGCAGGGTCAGTCTAACCTATTAGGTGCATGTACTCTTTCCACTGACCTACACTTGTCTATCTAGAATACAGGTTGTCCAGTCAGCTGTTTGTTTACCAGGGATGGACTTAAGTTGCTGGGCTTGCAATAGGAATTGCTAGTCCCTCATCGTGTGGGTCTATGTGGAGCTTTGATTAGTAAATGTCTTCACTTCTCTGTATTACATTAACATTGGCTCATGCATATAACCACCTCCTGCTGATTAGTTATCCATCTTAAAGATGTAGAGTGGATTAACCAGGTCATTATATCTTAGTTTAATAACAAGCATTACTGTAGAGTGACTGTGTATAAGAATCTGTTAGGTGTGTGTTTTAATCTGATGTGTGTGTGTGTGTGTGTGTGTGTGTGTGTGTGTGTGTGTGTGTGTGTGTTGGGCGGGTTAGGAGGTGAACTGTTCAGGAATTGTCTGCACTGTTGTGCAGAGCAGAGAACTCATGCTACTCTGACATGAATCCCAGGAACCACTGGCAGCAGTGGGGCGCCCCAACTTAACATGAGCACGGGTGCTTCATGACAAACAGTACTAGCATGCTCAACTGCATTATGTTCTGGCACTGTATTTCGAATGACATTAATTTATTAAATAAATTGTACATATTCAAAAAAATTAAAATCATAACTATTATATGATTGAGCTATACCAGTCTCCTGGCCCTTATGCCCAAAGGAAGTTTATCACCATACCACAGAGATACTTGCACATCCATGTTTATTACTCCACTATTCACAATAGAAGAGATACAGAAACAACCTCGGTGCCTCCCAGAAGATGAATAGATATGAAAAAGTGTGGTATTTGTGCACACTGGAGTTTCATTTCAGCCACAAGAATAAAATCATGTAAGGTACAAGAAAATGGATAGAACTAGAAGTAATCATGCTAAATGAAATAGCCAGACTCAGAAAGACAAACATATTTTTCTTCATATGTGGAATCTAGATTAACTACCATCTCACTCACACACACTCATGCACACACATCACTGTATAGGAGCAGGAAGGGGCCTAAAGGGAGTGGGGAGGGGTAAGAAAGACAAACTATCACATGCTTCCTCTTATGTGCAGATCTGTATGTAAACATGTACATGATACATGATGTGCAAGAAGAATAGGGACTATTTGAGAAGAGGACCAGCATGATGCATTTTTTATGAGCCTACATACATATTTGTCAAGGTTATGGAATTTTTGTTTACTTTTTGAGGCAGGGTCTTGCTATGTAGCCCTGACCGGCATCAGGTCATAGCAATCCTACCTCAGCCTCCTGGTTAATAGAATTACAGATGCCCACCACCATAACCATATAACTGAGATTTAAAAATAATCAGCATTTTATTTATTTGATTTCATTATTTTTATGGTTTTAGTTTTGTTGCTTCATGGTCTTTTTTTATTTTTTTTTACTTCTTAATGTCTTAGGATTATTTTGTTCTTTTTCAAAGGTTTTTAAATGGGGAATTTAGATTTTTCTGATCTGAAAATTTTCACTGCTCTAATACACACAAACACATATAAATACACGTGCAAATTACTATCAGAGCTATTTTCACAGTGCTTCAAAAATTTTGCCTTGTTATATTTTATTTTAATTCAGATCATTTTTTCCCACGGAATTCTTCAGTGACAATTATTTTCAGTGTGTTCTTTAGTTTCCAGTAGATTTTTCATTGGATTTCATGAACAATTTCTAATTTGATTCCACAGTGGCCAGAAAACATTATTTGTTACGATTTCTATTCTTTTGAATGTGTTAAGGTGTGCTTAATCGCCCAGAATGTTGTCTTAGTGGATTGTCAATGTGAACTTGGGAGAAACACAACCGACCTGTACTGTTGCTGGTTGGAATATCCCTGAAGACCCAATTAAATGAGGTTATTAATAGTGCTGTTGAGGTCATTTACATCTTCCCTGATCCCTCACTGACAGGTAGAGGAATGCCAATGTCTCCAACTGTTCTGGATGCTTTAGTGTTAACTTGACACACCTGGGTTGAGGGAGCCTCAACTGGGGAATTGCTTTCTTTGGGTTGGCCTGTGTCCATGTCCATGAGGGCACATTTTTGATTACTGAGTGATGTGGGAGGGCCCAGCCCACTGTGGGTGGTACCCCCCCCCAGGAAGGTGGGCCTGTGATGCATAAGAAAGGAGGCTGCACAGGGGCCAGGGGAGCAAGCCAGTAAACAGCATTCCTCCATGGCCTGTGCTCCAGCTCCTGCCTCCAGGTTCCTGCCCTGAGTTCCTACCTTGGGCTCCCTGATGAACTGTGACCTGGGAGGTGTAAGACAAATAAACCCTTTCCTCCCCAAGTTGGTATTGGTCAGAGTGTTTTGTCACAGCAATGGAGAAACAAACTAGGACACCAACTGTAACAGTGGAGTGATGTACTTCCTTTTCCAGTGCTCTCCATTTCGGCTTCATGTATTTTGACACTCTCTTGGTAGACACATATAGGTTTATGTTTGTTATCTCTTCTTGGAGGAATGAACTATTGATTATAATTCAATAGTACCCTTTATTACCTATGCTTTGTATTGTGGTAAAACTACTTTGTGTAAGATTTATATACCTATTCTATCTTTCCTCTGACTGAAGCTTGAAGGATAGTTATATTCTAGGATCTGAGATGACATCCATAAACCAAATGTTTGATTCCCATCTTTTGATGATGGTAGAAGACAATCAGGAGCTAAGTATTGCTGTGAAAGAAAGTAAGACATTGTTGATACGGTAAGATTTTTGAAAAAGTAAGATTTGAGTAGTATGAAGAAAAATCACTTTGATAAACTATCTAAATATTTGGGGCAGAATATTTCAAGAAAAGAAAACAAATTCCAAAGCCCAAATGAAGACTCCTGATAGGAATAATAGAGAAATGGGAATAATGCAAGAAGAACAGAATTAACAAAACTGTGACAGAATATAAGCAGAGAGAGGTGCAAAACATTATATAAAGTACTTGCTTGGTCTTGAGAACATCTATATCAACAATGGGTTTTGAGGGGGATTGGAGAGGTGGCTCAGTGGTTAAGAGCCCTGGCTACCCCTACAGAAGACTGGGTTAGAATCCCAGCACCCAGTTGTGGCTGTCTGTAACTCTAGTTATAGGGGATCTGATGCCCTCCTCTGTCCTCTTCAGAAACTGTACTACCTGGGTGCAC